TGCAAGGCTGCAGCCAGTGATGCTGTGCAGACCCTGCATTCCATGGGGGACTCAGCCCATTTCCATGGCAGAGCACAGGGACAACAGGCACCAGCCCATTCTCTGATCCATGGAGGTGTCCAGAGAAGAAGACACTTGACTTTACATCCTGAATTACCAAGCACAGGGATTCCTGGTTCTCCTCTTCTGGTCTTCTGTGGGACTGAGGCAGGGGAAAGCACTTTAAGCTCAAGGTTATTGAAGGACATTTCCAGGGGCACAGAGCATTTTAAATATTCGGGTGAGAGCTCTGCAACGTGCTGGCTCTGGAACCAACAGTTGCAAAGGGACAATTTTGAAACACGTTAGTTTTTCACCTACACACCCCAATGCATCACAGCAAAGCACCAAGAGTACCTCAGGGTCAACCTCAATTCATTACTGCCTTTTGCTACCCCCCCTTGAAAGCTTTCAGATCAAGTTTTCAGATCTGCTGATTATCTGCATCTGAGAGAGTCCTGGTGCTGCCCTGGAGCCTTTTTCTCCCCTTTCTCTGTCATTGCTTTTCCATTTGGAGATTAGTTTTTTGAGTGGACCACCTGCACCCCTCAGCTGCACAACCCAAAGCACAGGATGCCCCTTCTTTGCCTCTTTGGAGAAGAAATGGAGAAATCTCCCTTTCTCTTTGGAGAGATGGAGATTCACATCTGCCCCCAGCACTGCACTCATCCCCCTCTGCAGAGCTCTGGCTTGGTTTTTACTTCTCTATACCTGTTGCTTAAGGTAACATGCTTGATAATCCTGGTTTCACAGCACCCCAGAGAGAGACAAAGCTGGTACTCAGCATTGTGTTCATGGTTCCTTGAGCCCTGCTGCCAGCACTGCACTGCTGCAGCTCCTGCATGGCAGAGTGAGCATTCCCAGCAGGAATTCCCAGCCCACCCCACCTGGGTGTGTGCTGAAAGCAGCAGCAAGGAGAGATTCCCCTGAAAGGCAGAAACATTTCACTGCAATTTCCCCCGTCTCTGCCAAGGCTCAGCAAACCCTGATTTAATGAAGCATTCCAAGGCCACGGAGCCCACAAAACCCCAGGGCTCCTGTGCAGCAGGAGGGTGAGGAGGGCACCAGTGCAGAGCCTGGCAGCCCCAGGGCTGTGTGCAGGGTGCCAGGGATGCAGCGCACACCACGCACCATCCCAAACTCTGCACCAATTCCCTGCTGCACCACAGTCCATTTATAGAAACATGCTCATGCATTTTGGTGCATTTCACTTTGCTCTAGGAGAATACGGGGAAGGGTTTTGGCTTCAGGCTTTATCAGAGAGTCCAATCTTAACAGGACAGAGAGATAAGAGCAGAGGGACATCTTCTCAACTTTGCCTTCCCATTCAGCTGTCAGATGTCAGAGAAAACCTCTGACTGTCCCCAGCTGCATTTGTGCTCTGAGTGCAGCAGCCTGGCCTGGGCAGCTCTGACATGCAGTGCAACGCTGCTGTGTTGCAGTAGTGGTCAGGAAACTGATAAACTGATAAACTGATAAACTGATCAAACTGATCAAACTGATAAACTGATAACCAGCACAGCACTGCTTGGCTCACTGAAGGCTCACTGTGCCATCCTTCACCAGTCAATATTGCTCTAGGACCTCACGTTTCCCCATTTTCCAAGGAAGAAGCAGCATGTTTAGCCCATAACCTCCATTTCCACTCTCCTCTAGTCCGAGACTGAGGAAGAGCCAGGAGGCAGCTTGTCCCAGTGCAGGAACACCTGGGGAAGATGCCAGCACTCAATCTTTAATCTGCTGACCAAGCCGATGAGAGCATCAGTTCCCCAGAGCAGGAGGCAGAATGCAGGCACAGCTGACTGGACTGATCCCTTCTGTTGGACTCAAGCAGAGCAGGGTGAGGATGAGCTCTCCTCCTCCCCAGCTCCTCTCCCCCTGCCCTGTTTTTACGGGGTTTCCAGCTGCACTGGGTGCTGCAGGGTCACCTGTCCCTGTGCCAGGGCTCTGCCTGGCCACCCAGCCCTGCTTTAGTGCCAGCAGTGCTGGGGAAGCAGCAGAGAGGGGCTGGCAGGAGCCAGCCATGGCATCCTCACAGCAGGGCAGGGTGTTCACTGCCCAGCCCAGCTGCACACCCAGCGGCATTCCCTGGGCAAGGATTTTGTCGTTTAAAAGCCACAGTCGGGAGAGGAAGGCCAATAGACAATAGAAACAAAAGCTGCTAAGAGGCAGCATTACTCTAATGCTCTCTCACCTTGGAGTGTCTCAGCTGTACTTGGGTGCTAAGCTCTTTAAGAGCTCAGCTGGCCAGCAGAAGCACAGAGCAGGGGTCTGGGGAAGGCTGCTCCTGCGTGGAGTTTGGATGCACAGAAGTGGCATTGCTTAACACCAAACAGGCCAAAGTATTTAAATCTAAACTTCCTCAACTGGACTGGAGGTTTCTGTCTGTCAGGCTGAGCACGAACCAGAACCTGTTCAGCAGGTGAGTCCTTCACCTGCCCCAGAGCCATAACAAAGCCCCTCTTTCTTACCCTGCCCCACACCAGCTCAGGAGTTGCTGCCCCCATTTCTGCAGCCTGCTTCTGGAGAAGCCACAAGACAGTAATTCTATTTTCTAAGAACCCCAGCTGCTGTCCAGCTGTTCTTTATTGCTCCACAGCAGAAGTTTGCAGCCTTACCCAAAGCCCTGTGAACTTGATAGCCCAGGACTGGAGAGCTTTCCTGGAAGCTGATCCCCAGCCCAGCCCCTGCCCAGCTCCAGCAGCTCTGCAGCAGCAGCACACAGGGCTCCCAGCTCACAGAACACCAGAGAACCGAGGAGTTAAAGCATCCCAGAAATTACTCTGTCATTTACAGCCACATCTCCAGTTCTTTGGCACTAAACCCCTTTGCAGAGGCTGATCAATTTGGCAGGTAGCAGGCAAGTTTCCTCCCAGGCTGCCTCACCAAAGTCTCGCCCTGCTGGAGCTCCCTTTGCCTGTTCAAACCCCTCCCCAGCTCAGTGCCACCGGCAGCACCAAAGGGAAATGAGGCCCCACTGTAGCAAACTCACTTCTGTGCATCCTTTTCCCCATTCCTAAACAACAGATTTCCACTGCAAAGACAAAACAGCCTCTGGTCACTCAAGTTTGTTATTATTATAGACAGAGCTGCAAATTGGGAGTAGCAATCATTTAATATCCTCTGTTGAGAGACCATGTTTTCAGCTAGTTATGTGATGCCAAACTTTAAATATTGAGGCTGAAACTGTAGGGGTGGTTTGCTTTATGCAGTCTTTTTTTTTTTTAACTAAAAAAAAAATATAGTGCAGCTATTTCTGAGCTGAAGGTCAGATTATAAAATAGGTTTTTTGACCATGTTAAAAATATCTCAGCTGTTTCATTAAGGAGCTGTAACATCTCATAATTTGGGGCAAGTAAGATTTTGTGAGGATGATGGCTTGGATCAGAATGTGCTTTTGTCAAAGCCTTTTCAGGCTTCCTCAGCTGCGTGTGCCTTTAAGGCAAAAAGGTCCAGTGTGACAGATGAGACATGTGATGGCAATAAAGGAATAAAAGGCAGCTAGCAAGGAAAGGGACATTAAGGAGACAGATGTTCTACAAGCAAATAAAAAGCTCTATAGGAAAAAGAGCTGTTCTGGGTGGTGTTTAAAGATGGTGTTTCAGAGGAGGAAGCATTAAGCTGGAGAGGACAGTTTATCAACCCAGAGCCCCTCTAAACCCGGGGCAGAGGCTGTGCTTTGGCATTGCGGTGGAAATCTGTTCCACAGCAAGAGGTTCTTTGTTTAGGAGTGGGGGAAAGGATGTACAAAAGCGAGTTTGCTGCAGTGGGGCTCTGCTGCCCTTTGGTGCTGCAGCTGCAGAGCAGAGCCAGGTGCGGAGAGGTGGCACTCAGCTGGGCTGGGGTTTGCGCCGCTCTGAACAGGCAAAGCGAGCGTTCCCGCTGCTCGGCAGGGTCCGTGTCTCCTCGGGGGGCTCTGTATCCCCCGGAGGGGTTCTGTGTCCCCATGTCCCCCGGGGGGGTTTTGTGTCCCCGTGTCCCCAGAGCCGCTCAGCCCTGCGGGTTTTTCCTCCCGCCCGAGCGTCGGCGCCGGGCGGGAGCCGCCGCCAACCGCAGAGTCTGCGCGGGGCGGGCGCGGGGCGGGCGCAGCGGGCGGGGCGCTGTGTGTCGGGCCCGCCGCCGCCGGCGCGGTGCGGTGAGCGGGGCCGGGCCGGGGGGGCAGCCGGGACCGGACCGGACCGGACCGGACCGGGAGGGGTCAGCCGGGGCCGGAGGGGTCATCTCGGGCCGGGGAGGGGTCAGCCCGGGCCCGGCGGTCAGCCGGTGATACCCTGCGGCACCGCGCACCGGCCTCCCCGCTCCGGAACCGCGTGGGTGGCGGGAATGGAGGGATGCGGGATGGACGGGGGATGCGGGATGGACGGGGGATGCGGGATGGATGCGGGAGCGATGCGGCATGCACGGGGGATGCTCCCGTCCCCCGGCGAGGGGCAGGCTCGGCCATAGGAGCTCGGGGCGGAGGGACCGCGGTGCAGCCCCGGGCCGGCCGCTCCCTGCCCGCTCCCGGCCCCGCAGCCCCGCAGCCCGGCCTGGCCTTCCCGGGGACCGGCCCGGCCTTCTCGGGGCCGGGGAGCTCCAGCGCCCGGCGCGGGGGCGGCGGGCGGGTCCCGCTCGGTGTCCGGGAGCTGCGACAGCCGCTGTCGCACGGGGCTCAGCCCTGTCACAGGTGGGCCCATGGGTGTCACAGGTGGGCTCATCCCTGCCACCCATGGGCTCATCCCTGTCACCCCTGAGCTCATCCCTACCACCCATGGGCTCATCCCTGTCACCCCTGAGCTCATCCCTGTCACAGGTGGGCTCAGCCCTGTCACCCCTGAGCTCATCCCTGTCACAGGTGGGCTCATCCCTGCCACCCCTGAGCTCATCCCCGCGTTCCATGCACTGCCTACGCACAGGGCTGGGTTCCTCACGGTCCCCTGTCCTGCTTTTCCAGGGTTTTGGAAGCGGCAGCTGTCACGATGCTGGGGCCAGAGCACACGGAGTGAGGCTGAGTCAGAGCCAGAAGGGCCAAACACGAATTCGTGCACCTCTCATCTTGCATTTAATGTGAGTCTCCTCATTAAGCCTTGGCTTCTCCAGCAGCTGATGGTGAGCTCATTCCTGCCCCGGTGTTTGCAGTACAGAACACCAGGAGGGTTTCCCCAGTCCTCAGAGAATCCCAGAGCCCTTTCCTTCGTGTGCAGAGCCCTGTGGGAGCCCCAGGCCATGCTGCATTTTCCATAGAATCACAGAATATCCTCAGCTGCAAGGGACCCCCAAGGACCATCAAAGTCCAGCTCTTTTGGCCGTGCACCTGGTGATTATTTTTCAGTGAGGATACAACAGTAACAAAAATACCTTTTGCATTTTTTCCCTAGAGACCTGGAATGAGCTCCTGTGAACGGGAGCTGCAGTGGCTGTGCAAGGGAGTGCCCAGCCTGGCTGCTGGGCCAAGCTCCACGTGTTTTATGTGGATCAGGCCCAGGAGTCTTTTCCTGAAGCCCGACTGAGTAACTTTGTTCTGCCTGGCTGGGGGATTTTTGGAGTATTATTTTTTAATGGGAGCAGTGGTGCTTAGCTGATATGAAAGCAGTAAACAAACACTGACTGGGTTTGCTGAGCTTATTCTGTGCAGTGTAGCTCAATATTTTGCAATTGGGAGGGTTGTGAAACTGCCTTTGGTTTGGGAACACACGTGACTGTGGCTGAATCTGCCGGGAAGTTCCCTGGCTAATTCCCTTTTTTCTGTGGGTCTGGAGCAGCATGGCCCACCCAGACCCATCCCATTCCTCCCTGTGCCTGCCCCAGCCAGCACAGCAGGGCTGCCAGGGTGTCAGTGCCTCTGGTTCCTGGAACAAAGGTTGCTCAGGAAGTGTAAATACCCATTTATTGCACTGAGGAACTTTGTCTTCTGGGTTATAACCCCACAGCAGGGGAGGGGGAAGCAGAGAATCATTTATTCTGTAGGCAGAGCCTCAGCAGCTGCCAGTGCTGCTGGCTGTGTTCCTTCAGTGGGTCCAGGGAGCTCAAACAGCCAGGAGAGGAGGGAAGGAGGGGACACAGCCACGGCACAGGGCTGGGCAGGGAGGAGTTAAACTTACAGGCTGCATTTCAGCTCGGTGTAGCTGTCTGGGAGCAGGAATTGCCACCTGTGCCTGTGTTTTACCTGCTCTCAAACAGCAGCGGGGCAGGACTGTGAGCAGGGATGTGCTGGGATGGTGCTGGCTCATTGCTGGCTCAGGCACTTCTGGTTTTTCTCTGTTGTAATTGGGTCTTTCCTCCTGTTTTCCAGGAAGGGAACAACCTGCCTTACCTGTGCTGCACACCTGAGCACTGATCAGAGACACCCAGAGACACAGGAGGAGCAGGAGCTGCGCTGGGAGAGGCTGGGCAGGAGGAAAATCTCCAGCTGCTTTTGGGGTCTCTAGAGCTCCTGTGTTACAGGTGAGTCTGCTGGAGAGAAACACAAGATTTCTGCAGAGCAGTTCAAGCTGCAGACAGGGAAAGATATCCCAATGTTCCTTGTAGTTATTTAGTTATCACCACTTATTGACCAGAGCTCAAAGTTTTTAAAGTAAATAACATTGTGTGCTGTGAAGATCCAACTAAATACAGCTTATAAATGACATTAAGGGAAGGAGATAGCCAGTGATAGAGCTGCTGAAATAATACCTGTGTAATGAGAGCAGCACAGTGGTTTAGTCACACATACAGCAGTGACTAAACCTCTCTTCAGTGACATTACATCTCTGCAAATGCAAAGTCATTGCTGTGTTTCTCAGTGTAAGTGCTAAATGTGTCTTTTCTCTTAAAACCAACTTTATTTTGAATAAATAAGCGTAAGCAAAGGGACTTTTTGGCCCGGCTGCAGTGGTTTGAATGGGCACTGAGTGGAGAGGGCCAGAACAGGAGGCAGAACACAAAGCCCAGGTTGTCACCTGGCCACAGACACAGCACCATGGGGCTGCATCTAGACTGGCTCACACCAATCTGGGGACTGAACTTCTTCCCCAGAGCTGTTTTATCACACCAGTCTGCCATTAGCCATTAGAACCCAGTCCAGTGGTGGGGCACAGCAGCCACAAGTGAAAGAAGAAGAGCCTGGGGCTGCCAGTGGTCGTGTTTGTCCCTGAGCTGCTGTGACAATATTGACATGAAGCCATGCCAAGGCAGCCAGGCAGTGTTTGAGCACAGTCCCCAGCAGGATTCAGGATGCAGGCACGTGTGCTCAGGGTGCAGGCACGTGTGCTCCTTTGTGGCCAGTTTGGGATTTGGATGAAAATGGGTTTGTTTCCCTGTGCCAAGGCACTGACACCCCCCCAGCTGTGGGAGCAGCGCACGTGCTGCCCAAGGACCTGCAGCACACACTGCCTTCACTTCTGGTGTGCAGAAGGAGGCTGCAGGTTTGTCAGGAACCCAAATTACTGCCTTGATTCAGATCATGGAGGGGAGGAGAGGCTGTTGGTGGAGGATCCAGGCAGAGGCCCCCGGCTCTTGTGGGGAAAGCAGATGCCTTGTGTTGTGTATTGCAGCGCTACAACATGGATTGATTTGTGTTTTTATTCCTGACCTCTAGTGTCCCTGGATCTCCCTCCTCTCCCCAGGATGCTGGGAAGGGTCCTGTGCACAGTGCTGTTCGTGGGAGCCCTGCCACCCCCAGCTGGAGCCTCCCAGGGCCACATCTCCGTCATCCTGCTGGGAGCCACGGGGGATTTGGCCAAGAAGTATTTGTGGCAGGGTCTGTTCCAGCTCTACATGGACCAAGTGAGCAGTGGCCACAGCTTCACGTTCCACGGGGCTGCCCTGGCAGCTCTGGAGCCGGGGCAGAGGCTGATGTTTGATGTGCTGAAGCAGCTGTCCTGTCCCCCCGACGAGCCTCCCAACCGCTGTGCCGTGCTCAAGGACCAGTTCCTGAAGCTCAGCCAGTACCACCAGCTGAAGACTGCCGAGCACTACGCAGCTCTGAACAGGGAGATTGAGACCCTGCTCAGCCAGGAGGGGCTGGAGGAGGCTGGCAGGATCTTCTACTTCTCCGTGCCACCCTTTGCCTACACGGAGATCGCGGGGCACATCAACAGCAGCTGCCGGCCGCGCGCCGGGGCCTGGCTGCGCGTGGTGCTGGAGAAGCCCTTTGGCCATGACCTGCCCTCGGCCCAGCAGCTGGCTGCACAGCTGGCAGGCTTCTTCAGGGAGGAGGAGATGTACCGTGTGGACCATTACCTGGGCAAGCAGGTGAGCAGCCCCTGCCAGCCCGAGGGGCTCGGGGCCTGGGGCTGGGGAGAGCGTTGTTCTCCTCCCAAATCCATGCTGAGCCTCTCTTTGTGATCCGGAGCCTCCTGGAATCCTGTGCTGTTTCTCTGTCCTGGGAGAGCAGGTGAAATGTGCAGACCAAAGCAGGGCTTCCTCCTGTTGGGGTGGTGAGGGTCCCTTCTGCAGAGCAGGGCTGGGCTCTGTGCCTGGAGCAGAGATGCAGAGCTCCTCTGGCCTCCTCGCCAAGGTCAGGGCTTTGGTTTCGCTGAGTGAGCAGCACCTGTCCTCTCCCAGCTCCACAGCTCATTCCACACAGGCCTCTCTGCTTAGCCATGGCTTCTGGAAGCACTCCTCCATTTGATATGATAAGGAGCTGATGGGATGTTAGTTCTGGGGGATGCTTAGGGAAGGTTTCTTCCTGCCCTGCAGGACTGTCTGCTGCAGGTACAGCTCAGGATGTGGAGCTGCTCTGTCCCAGAGGGAGGATGTTCAAGGACATGCCATCCTTGTTTCTCAGGGATGTGATGCCACACTTTAAAGCAGCCTCTTCCAGCCATGGCAATGTGGCCAGGTTTTACTCAGAAGTTGCATGTCCAGCTGTGGAGAGCATCTTCACAGAGAGGGGCAATTTCTTCTGTTTTATTTTGGGGGTTTATTTTATTTTAAATGTTTATTTTTATTTTATTTTTTTTATTTTATTAAAAGAGCAGATGGCTTTAGTGGTGTAAGCATCTGAAGTGATGTATTTTAGCACTTTGGAACCTTACATTAGTCCCAGGATGGTCTGACTCAGCCCTTTGTCCTCTGACAGATATAAACTGAGTGCTCTGCAGTTTGTAGTTCAGCCTTTTCACATGAAACCTCCAAATTCCTCAGAAAGACCTTTAATGTCTGCTCTGGACAGCCACTGGTGACCCTGCTGTGCACCACTGCAGCCTCTCCTGCTGCTTTTCTCTTCTCTGACCTGCTCTGCTGCATGGGGCAGGGAGGCAGAGGCACTCTGGGAATCTGCTGAGTTTTTATTGGGTGTTTTGATTTTCCCCTCACAGGCTGTGGCCCATATCCTGCCTTTTCGGGATCAGAACCGACAGTTTCTGGACCCCATTTGGAACCGGCACCATGTGGAAAGAGTGGAGGTGGTCTTGAAGGAGACTGTGGATGCTAAAGGTTGGTGAGGCAGTGTGCAGAGGGTGAGTGAGTGAGAACTGGCAGGTTCCTAAATAATGGGCAGGGGGCCCTTGAGGTGGTGCTGGTGCAGAAATACAAAAGGAACAGGTGAATGGGGTGTTGCTCCCTGGAAACAGAAAGGGACTGTCCCACACTTCCTGTGCTGGAGACTGACTCACTTCCAGGGAGAGTTGCTGCCTCTAAGGAAAAAATCCATTTGTAATTCATCTGGGAGCCGGGGCAGAGCCCCCCACCTTTTTCTGCTGCAGAGCTCTGGGGGCATTGCTGACCTTTCTATCCCAATTCTTGGCAAACAGCCCTAGATTTGGAATTGATGCAGTCTAAGGCCACTTCAACTGTCCTGCTGTCCTGCCAGCCCCCAGGCTCACCCCAAGTGTGCCTTTGTGCTGCTCTTTGGGAGGTGCTCGTGCATCTCCTGCCTGGATGTTTCTGTCCCTGGGCCAGTGTGGGTTTGTGTGCCCGTTTCTGTGCCCTCCTCTCTGTGGTAGGAAGAGCACCACAGAGGGACAGTCCCAGCCCGGAGAGGCAGCGTGGGGCTCCTGCTGAAGGGCACGGCTGCACTGCTGCAATGCTGCAGCATCCCCTCTGCAGTGCTCAGCACAAAGCTCCCGGGCTGGGCTCTGCCTGCAGCACTCCTGGCCAGGCAGGTGCCCTGGCTGCTGCACCAGCAGGACTGCTTCCCCACTCACCTCACCTCTGCCTCCCTCCCTCAGCCTCCACAGACTCAGTTAATGCAGTTTTGTCAAACCTGGGCTGGTAATCTTGGGTTTGGCAGCCCAGAGCTCACCTGAGCCTGTTTGTGGGAGAGGGGTGCACTGCAGAGAGATTTAGGGAGAGCAGCATTGTCTGTGCACAGCCCCAGCTGCCCCCTGTGCCCCCCCTCTCTGAACAACGATGTCATTTGATGTCATTTGTCACTTGATGTCTGTTTTCCCTGTGCAGCTTCAGCTGGCAGCCTGGCTCCCAGCAAGTCTGCAGCACTGATCCCATTACTGAATGTGCCTTTGGATTGGGAGGGAGATGAATGATCAGTCAGTGGGGGAAGCCTGTGGTGGTGATGCAGCCTGCTGCTGGTGACACACAGCCTTGAGTCACTCCTGCAGTGCACTGTCCTTCTCCCACTGTCCCCACCTGCGTGACAGGCCAGGCAGGGAAAGGGAAGCTCTGTGCACGAAATTTTGTCTCCCAAGGGTATGGCTCAGCCAAAGCCTTCTGAGGACAGGAAAACCATCTTGTCCTGCTACAAGCAGTGACCACTTCCACTAGGACAGGTTGCCCAAAGCTCTGTCCGACCAGACCCTGCACACATCCAGTGACAGGACACCCATTCCCTGAGCTTGATTGCTTCAGGTTAATTACTGGGTGGGGAGAGAGGAGCTTGGAGCTTTGCTCTCCCTGGCCCCACAGGGAGATGCAGAAGGGAACCAGGTCCCCTGAGCAGCATTTTGCCTCCTGCCGTGCCCAGGCCGCACCAGCTTCTACGAGCAGTACGGGGTGATCCGGGACGTGCTGCAGAACCACCTCACCGAGGCCCTCCTGTTCCTCATCATGGAGCTCCCTGCCAACGTCAGCAGTGCCCAGGAGGTGGTGCAGCACAAGCTGCAGGCCTTCCAGGCCCTGTGGGGGCTGCAGAGGAGCAGCGCCGTGCTGGGGCAGTACCAGGCCTACGACAGCCAGGTGCAGGAGGAGCTGCCCGAGGCACGGGGCCACGTCAGCACCACGCCGACCTTTGCAGGTGAGGGTTTGGGCCAGGGGAGCAGTCGGAGCTGTGAGCCCTGCAGGACCAGCCCCATGGCTCTGGGATGTGCCCAGGCATCCACTGGCATGGTAACTGGGAGCTGGACAAGATAACGCTGTTGTGTCAGTTCACCAGTGATCCAGGGAATGGGATGTGTAAAGCTTAAGGCCCATTATTATAAAATCTCTGCATTGTTTTTAGAAGTAGCCTATAAACTCCTTCGCCTTCCCATAAACTTGAGTTGAGGGGTAAAGCTTTGTTCTCTGTGGTAAGTGAACCACAAGGCCATCTCCAGGCATGCTGTGAACACAAAGAGAATTGTCTAAATGATGCTCATGCTCACAAACTGGTTTCCTGCGAGATGAAAGGAGGCTGAACAAGTGGGATGGCTGGGAGGGAGCACAGCAGGGAGCTGGAGGCAGTGAGAATCATGGATGGCCAGGTGGGAAGGGACCATAAAGATCATTGAGTTCTGGCTAGGCAGTGAAGCCATGGAAGGGCTGATGGGGAACTAGAGACACAGTGGGTACCAAGGGAGCTGAGGAGGGTGAATGCTGGGCAGTAATGGAGATCCCCAGGGGTGCCTGCTGTTGAGGTGTGTGGGGTGTCTGTCGTTGCAGGAGTGCTGATCCACAGCCACAGCCTGCGCTGGGACGGGGTCCCGTTCCTGCTCACCTCGGGGAAGGCTCTGGATGAGCGGGTGGGCTACGCCCGCGTCCTCTTCAGGAACAGGGCCTACTGCCCTCAGAGTGGCACGCTGAGGGATGCAGGCCACAGCCAGTGCAAACCCAAGCAGATCATCTTCTACTTTGGGCACGGTGCTCTCAACACCCCCGCGGTGCTGGTGAGCAGGAACCTCTTCCGGCCTGCCATGCCCAAGGACAGCTGGAAGGAAGCAGGAGCTCGCTCAGACCTGCACATCTTCGGACAGCCGCTGTCTGATTTCTACATGTACAGCCCTGTCAAGGAAAGGGATGCCTATTCTGTCCTCATCTCCCACATCTACCACGGCAGGAAGGATTTCTTCATCACCACGGAGAGCCTGCTGGCCTCGTGGGCCTTCTGGACGCCTCTGCTGGACAGCACGTCCCGCCAGCCCCCGCGCCTCTACCCCGGCGGCGTGGAGAACCAGCAGCTGCTGGACTTTGAGATGGTGGCCGGGGGAGTGGAGTTCAGCCTGGCAGAGCCGGCAGAGCTGCTGCACCCCAGCGGGCAGATGCCAAGTGAGTTCAGGGCCATCCAGTCCCAGTTCCGGCAGAGTCCCCTGGTGTCGGCCTGGGCCGAGGAGCTGATTGCCCGGCTGGCCTCCGACATGGAGGCGGCGGCCGTGCGCAGCGTGGCTCGCTCGGGCCAGTTCCACCTGGCCCTGTCGGGCGGCTCCAGCCCCGTGGGGCTGTTCCAGCGCCTGGCCAGGCACCACCACGGCTTCCCCTGGCAGCACAGCCACGTGTGGCTGGCAGACGAGCGCTGCGTGCCCCTGACCGACGGCGAGTCCAACTTCCAGGGCCTGCACCGGCACCTCCTGCAGCACGTCAGGGTGCCCTACCTCAACATCCACCCCATGCCCGTGCACCTCAACCGCCGCCTCTGCGTGGAGGAGGACGGCGGTGCCGAGCTCTACGCCCAGGACATCGCGGCCCTGGTGGCCAACGCCAGCTTCGACCTGGTGCTGCTGGGCGTGGGCACGGACGGACACACGGCCTCGCTCTTCCCCCGCTCCGAGCACGGCCTGGAAGGGGCTGCCACGGTAGTGCTGACCGAGAGCCCCGTCAAGCCCCACCAGAGGATGAGCCTCAGCCTGCCCCTCATCAACAGGGCCAGGCAGGTGTTCGTGCTGGTGCTGGGCAAGGGCAAGCACGACATCACCGCGCTGCTCAGCAGGGTGGGCCGCGAGCCCCGCAAGTGGCCCATCTCGGGGGTCAGCCCCAGCTCTGGCCAGCTCGTCTGGTACGTGGACTATGAAGCTCTGCTGGGGTGATGCTGCAGTGTCCCTCCTCCCCTGTCTGCGTGGCCTTCACAGCCTGGATTGTCACACACAATGTCCTTGTTCCTGCGTTGCCAGCAGCAGCTCCATCCCTGACACCTCCGGCCCTCAGGGGGACCCAAGGCCTGCAGCACCCCTGGCACTGGAGCCTGGGTGAGCTGGGCTCAGTGGCCAGAGCTCAGGAGGAGCCACAAGCCCAGTGTGGCCTTTCTGGCTCTGCTCTGGGTTCTCTGCCCTGCACACCTCTGGTGTTTGAGCCTGGGCTCTGTGTTTGGAGCTCAGGAGGAGCCACAAGCCCAGTGTGGCCTTTCTGGCTCTGCTATGGCTTCTCACTGAGACTTTGGACAAATGACTTCACCTTGAAGTGCCTCAGTTTCCCTGTTTGTGCTTACTGGCATTTAACTACCTCACAGGTACTTCAGGGGACTTGTTAAATCAACTGCCTGCCAAATTCTGTCTAATTTAATGTAATTCTCAGGCTAGAGACAACAGTACCACATTGATCCCTGCCCTGCTCAGCCTGGCTGGGCCAGGCCCTTGTCTCAGGGCAGTGATGGTGGTTTGCACGTGGATGTGTAACCCTGGATGTGTTGGGGCTCTGGAAATAACGGGGCAGGCTGAGAGTATGGCACAGCTCTGCTCTCCAATTATTGCACTCTGAGAGTGCAATAATTACTGAGGGAAAGCTTGGTGCTCAGAGGAAAAGCTTGGGTTTAGCTAGCAGAGAAATCTTATTTTTGAGCGAAAATGCCCGTGTTCACTTCATTCCAGTTCTTTTGTATTTGGTGCGAGGGAACAAGTTTTAATGAAAAAGTGACCTATGAGAGAGTAACTATATTGTTATGAATACCAGTTTATTCCTGTCTTACAGGTGACTGTGGCATTAGAGTTTTCTTATTTTTGCACACTTGCTTGGCAATATGTGGCTGGCACCTTTTGAAATGAACACTGAAAGGTTCATTTGCACTTTGAAATAAGCACATGGGCTTTTCCCCAGGGACCTACTGTTCTTTGCAGGTGAAAATAGGCTTTATTTGTGAAGTCTCTATCTAGTGGGTCACCCCAAAATATATCCAAGATTTTATTAAAATCCATTAAAAGTTTCCACATGTTTTCCTTGGTGAATGGAGCTATCTGGGTTGTTTGGGGGATTTTTCAGAAGTGTATTTTTTTTTTCGCACAGACAATTTCTGTTAAACTCTTTAATTCTTAGCATTTGCTGAATGAAAACCAAATATTTTTGAATATACAACATTTATGACTGGAAAGAGAGAGACTGGATGGGAAGAAGGGTTAAATGAGCAACAAATCTGATGAAGAGGAATGGTAGCAATCCACTGGGCTGTAGGCCAAGGAAGCAGGGCTATTTTTATTTTGTGAAAGTTATTAATAGAAGGTGTGCACCTTCTTGAGAGCTTGTATTAACCTTTCTTTGCAAAGGCAGCTCCATGGAGTAACTTCTTACAGTCTGTTTCTCCCATAAGTGATTATTGATACTAATTTTTATTCGTTTTTTTAATGTCAAGTGCATTCCGACAATTCAATTGTATGATTATATGTTTTACAGAAAACTAACACTGGAAATAACTCATTTTTCACTTCAGCTTTTATAAATCAAATTGTACAATCTTTTTTTTTTCCCATAAGTAAAGTTTTGTGATTCTTTTCATATTGCTTAATGAATAAAGAATTATATTTATAAAAAATAAATAGTTTTTAACAAGAAGTGTCTTTTAATTTCTTCCAGAGATGGGAAGCACTTCCTGCTGAGTGAAGTTTTAGGGTTTTAGTTGTGCAAAGTGGACAATGTCACTGCAGTATTAAATGTTCACTCTGACTCTTGCTTTTTTTTTTCCTTTTTTTTTTTTTTTTTTTTTTTTTGGTGTCTCATCCAGACAAGGCCAGGACTTTCCAAAACAAGGAGCAGCCAAAGCCCTTTTAAGGTGAGAAGATGGAATCAGGCAGTGCTGTGCAGGGCCCTGGAATGGCCAGGCCTCAGGAAAGCCTCAGTGATCCACATTTCCTGTGTGTTGCATTTCCATGGACACTGTCACCACAGCACAGAGCTCACAGAGCTGCGTGTTTGCCTCTGAGCTGTGCTCTGTGAGCTCAGGGGCTGCAGCTGAAGTTCCAGCTGAGCTGAGCTGGGACTCGGGGCTGGCAGGGCCCTGTGGAAGGTCCCAGAGCTGCTCCTGACCAAAGGACAATCCCACCTGCCCCTTCATCCGTGGCAAGGGCACCAGGGAGGGCAGGAGGAGCAGCAGCTCCATGCAAGGGGAGCCCTTCATTCTCCTGGCAGGATTTAAACCAGACCTTTTCTTGCTGCACTCCTGCTGATGCACACATGCTGGTTTCCCTGCATGCAGGGCTGGCATGGGTGCTGCAGCGATGCAGGGCTGGCATGGGTGCTGCAGTGATGCAGAGCTGGCACCAATGCTGCAGTGATGCAGAGCTGGCACCAATGCTGCAGGGATGCAGGGCTGGCATGGCTGCTGCAGGGATGCAGGGCTGGCACCAATGCTGCAGGGATGCAGGGCTGGCACCAATGCTGCAGGGATGAGCTCCGTGCCAGCTGCTGCCCCAGCTCTCCCCATGGTGAGGAGCTGGCCCTGCTATCTCACACAGAATTTCTCTGTGCACAGGATTTCCCACAGGAGCTGAGTGTCCAGCACACAGAGCTGCCCCTGCTCAGTGTCCAGCACCCAGAGCAGCCTTTGCTCAGTGTCTGAGTGTCCAGCACCCAGAGCAGCCTTTGCTCAGTGTCTGAGTGTCCAGCACACACAGCTGATCCTGCTCAGTGTCCAGCACACACAGCAGCCCTTGCTCAGTGTCCAGCACCCAGAGCAGCCCCTGCTCAGTGTCTGAGTGTCCAGCACACACAGCTGACCCTGCTCAGTGTCCAGCACCCAGAGCAGCCATCGTTTGCAGAGGAATGGCTGCGGGTGCCTTTCCTCAGCCGCTCTCTGCAAGCCCAGAGCCAGCTCTGCCAGCAGCAGAGGGTGCTGCTTGCCCGTGCTGCTGGGAGCCTTCCCCAGCCCTGTCCTGCCGGAGGAGCCGTTCCAGGCCCGGACCAGCACGGCTGCGTGTGACACCAGCGCAGGGATGGCGGGAGTGGCCCCTTCCAGCCCCGGCAGGACTCGTAAACAGTAAACTCGTAAACAGTGGTTTACAGCCAGTAAACCACTGGGATTTCAGGGGTGCTCCCCTCAGGAGGGGACAGTCACCTGCAGGTGCCTCAGGGGTAACCCAGCACTGAGCTGGGGTGGTAAGTGCTGCTCTAAATAGGGGAGCACTCTACTTAAAGAGTAAATTCTGCTCCTGTTACATATATCCCATCCTTTAAGGCATCCAGCACCCTGTGCTGAGACAGAAAGGCAAAGGAGTCATGAGAGGAGACATCACAGCGCGACTCTGCTCTCCAGGTGAATGTAAAGCAAAATACCTGGATTCTACTTTTTTATTTTTTATGAAGGGCTTAATTTCATTCAGCAGCTGCATTTACTTGTGTTGCAGTGTGTTGCTGTGCTGACTGTGCCAACATCTCAGTTCTCAAGAAGGCACTAAAATGAAGATAACCACTTTTTTCCTGCAAAGTGCCCTTGGGGAACGCCTCTTTTTTCTCCTCCATCCCACTCTCCTTCACTCCCCTTTCCACCCCATCTTCCAGCTGGGGAGGGTTTGTTGATTGTGCTCCGGGCAGGCTTGGCAGGGTTTCTCCCTGGTGAGGCTCTGTTTTCACAGCCCCTCTGTCCTGCAGCACACTGGGCTGCTGTGGCTTTGTGGCTGCACTTAGAGGCACTCATTGTTCCTCTGTGCTGCACTGTGTCCCTCCGAGCCCGCAGGCACAGCCTGCCTGCAGCAGGGACATGTTTGGGGCAGAGTGGCTGCTCTGCTGCTCTCCCTCTGCCCTGAGCACACAGAGCCCTGGGCTCTCTGCCTGCCCGGCTGGGTACAGCAACAGGATCCCCTCTGCTGCTGCTGCTGCTGCAGCCCTCAGCCTCTGCTGCAAGGGCAGTGTCACTCCAGAGTCTGTCCCAGCCCCACAGTCCATGCTGGGAGCCCAAAGGATTTAAATATTTAGCTTCAGACATTCCAAAGGGACGAAGTTGTCGGAAGGTGGATGCTCATCCCAGTCCAGACCCCAGAGCTAATCTGCAGTGCTGAGTGCTGACCACAAGAAAGCAGCCATGCCAAGCCATTCCTCCTCCCACCTTCCTTTTAATAGTTTCAGCATAAATTCACAAGGATGGGAGCTGGAAAAGTCTCTGCTAATCCAAGCTCCATCCCTGGTCAGAGGGATCCCACTGCAGGCCACAAACACTGGCCCCTGTCAGTCACCCCCCTGTGCCTCTGTTTGTGCTGTTGTTTGGGCTGCAGACAGTGCTCAAAGCAAGTGACTGAAGGTTAGCAATTCCTGCTTCTTGAGGAAGCAAGAAAGTCAAATATTAAGGAAATAAAAGCAGACAGGATTCCATAGGAGCTGTGATCTCATCTGGCGAGAAGCCACCACAAAGCTGAGAAGTTCTGCTTCAGCACTTGTCACGTCTGGTTTCCTCCAGCTTCCCTGCTGCTCCTCTCACTCCTCCACCCCGCTTCTCCCTGAAATTAGTGGGGGAAAGTAACTTAAATATGAGCAGGACCAAGTCAAAGCAAAGTAGTTTTGAAAAAGCTACCCAATATATATCTGTTTGACATAAACCCTCCTATTTTTATTTTGCAGGGTGTGGAAGAACATATTTGTTCTGTATCCACAATCTCCCCGGTGTTTCTGGTCAGCTAGAGTAATAAATTTATTCTGATGTGAATGTGGTTTTTTTTTGAAGGACCACAGTGACTGGCATAGAGCAACTATTCCCCACAGACATCAAAATATGCTCAATAAATTAGTGAAATAACTGTGCTTTTTTTTTCACATGTGCCCCAAGACCATCAGTGATGAGAAATGTCAAGAGCCACGCTCGTGTCCAATCCCCAAGAACAATAACTGCAGCAGCATGCAGGGGCATTCATTGCACAGTGACTCAGATGGCAGGCGGCCACCTCCTGAATCACTCACACCACTTCCTGCAGCAGCTCCTAGGTGGTCCTTGGAGGTATCCCATGCAATATGGCTTGCTGAATTTATGACAATCCACGGCTTTGCAGCTTGAGCAGTATTGCTACAAACCAGTCTTTTTGTCCAGAAACACTGAAAAATTCATCATCTCAAAGGGGCACTACTGGGTCAGATTTGTCCAAAGGGTTGTTCTTGGAATGGGAACTGAAATGAACAGAATTGTATTTCTCAGGTTTATTTCGGTAAACAAATGAGTGTTTAAAAAGCAAACAGACATTCCCAGGAGTGACTGAAACAAATCACAGAATCACAGAATGGGTTAGGTTGGAAAAGACTTCTGAGATCTCCGAGTCCGTCCTGCGACAGAACACCACCACGCCACCCGGAGCATGGCACAAAGCGCATTCCCCGAACACCTCTGGGCACGGAGACTCCGCCACCTCCCTGGGCAGCCCCTGCCCGTGCCCGATCCCCCTTTTCGAGGAGAAATGCGGAACTCTGGGGGGCTGTGCGGACACCGAGGATGGAGCCGCCACCGAGTGCCCGGAGATCCCCAGCGCCACGCCCGGGGCTGCCCGCGACTGCCAGCCGTGCCTGGAGCGAGGGTGGCAGAACGGCACCGAACAGCGCAGATGGCACACAGAAACGGGCTGGAGCAGCAGAACGGCACCGAGCAGCCCGGATTGCACACAGAAACGGGCTGGAGCAGCAGAACGGCACCGAGCAGCGCAGATGGCACACAGAAACGGGCTGGAGCAGCACAACGGCACCGAGCAGCCCGGATTGCACACAGAAACGGGCTGGAGCAGCACAACAGCCCGGAACAGCCCGGATTGCACACAGAAACGGGCTGGAGTAGCACAACAGCCCGGAACAGCCCGGATTGCACACAGAAACGGGCTGGAGTAGCAGAACAGCCCGGAACAGCCCGGATCTCACACAGAAACGGGCTGGAGCAGCACAACAGCCCGGAACAGCCCGGATTGCACACAGAAACGGTGCCGCCTGCGGGCCGGGGATGGGCACAGGGGCCGCCGCTGCGGGGCT